AGTACAGCATATAAATATAGTCAATATTAGTGTAATAATTATGTATGGTGCCAGGTGGGTACTAGAGCTGTCATCGGGATCACTGCATAAATTATATAATTGTCTGACCACTATACTGTACACCTAAAACAAGTATAAAATAAAATAAAAATGTTTTCAAATAATGGGTACAATTTTTGGAAAACACCATGAAATAATATTAAATGAAGATAGAATAAAAAACTTTATATAGGCATGTTTCCAATGCTGTTCAAAACAAAAGTTTTTTGGTTTTTTTTAATCAGCATAGTAAAAAGACTTGAAAGAAATAAAACAATATATTAGTAGAATACTGGTAATATAGATTATTTAATTTTTTTACAGATTTCCATATTTCTAATCTGAATACATTGACCAAGTATGTGTATTGACTTTGTAATAAAAATACTAAACATTTTAAAAAACTTAGAACACTTTTGATGCATTTTCTAGCAAAGTCCAGGATAATATTGATGATAGAAGGAAATGAAAATGTTTCCACACTTAAAAGACCAGTATATGTAATGGCAACAGTAAATTTAGTGTATTCTAGTATAAGAAAAATAAATATAATTTGTAATAGGAAAAATGAGTTTTTGTAAGAAAATGTGACTGTCATACACCATAATATGAGCTTGCTTAATAAAAATTTTAGCTATTAGGTGGTCTCTCCCATCTCCCCCTAAGAAAGGTCAAAATAAAGAGGTAAATCTCATCACTGTTAACACTGTTAAATATAGTTGCTATTTTCCTACCCTGGTGTATGTCCCATAGTAATGAAGCTTTGTTGATCTGGTTAGAATAAATTATCTACAAAATATTATTGTTCAGCAAATGTGTTCTCTGATTACTGTCTAACCATTTATGCTATCTGAGAAAAGAGATGAATTGTTGCTGATCTCTCACTTCTTTTGTCCTGCTATCAAGCAGCAATTATCCTTTTAATTCTCTCATCATAAACATCTCAATCTCCCTAGCCCGGAAAAACAAAGACAAATGACTCAAACCATTTACTCCCCACTACTAAAATAAAATAAAACAATCCCAGGCTAAGTAGAGAAAAAGGATAAAGGATAAGATTGTAGTCTCCTTTTACATGCTCTGTTTGAACACATATTAATTCAACAAAGAGACAAGATTACAACTCTGTTTCATATCTGAATCTGCACATACTTACCTGTTTCTTAAAATTCTATTGCAGCAAAATAATTTTGAATTTTGGAATCACAATGGTGATCTAATATTTCATTAAAAAGAAAATCTAGGAGATTCCAAGATGGCAGCAGATTAAGTGAAAGCTACACTGACACTGTCCCAGGACCAAACTGGAATTACAACTAAAATATAGAAAAACCACCCTCAATAATCACCTGAAGACAAGCTGGAGAGAACCCTTTAACCAAGGACATAAAATGAAGACCACATAGAGACTGGTAGGAAGTTCAGAGGCACGAGAAGACTGGCTGGGCTCTCACAGACATCAGCTGAAGATCCAGAGGTATATCTCAGCTGCAGGGGTTCCCACGGGGAACTCTGGGGGGTCTAAACCCAAATCTGGGCTCCCCAGCCCAGAGCACCAGAACTGAGAAAGATACCCACATAACATCTGGCTGTGAAAAGCAGTGGAGTTTCTGTCTGTCAGGGAGAGATGGCTGAAAATGTAGGCACCCTCTTAAAGGGCCAACACACAAAATTTCATGTGCGGCTACTTACCTTGGGCTCCAGTGAAGGGAAGACAGAGTGGAGTAGACCTGTGTGAGGAGAATCCAGGGTTGGTGGCTCTGGAGATACAGCTCAGAGGGCATTCCTGTGCTGAGTCATTCCCCCATACTGCAGAAGACATCTTTCTCAGGCAGACACTTACCATCCAGGCAGCTTTTGCCTGGGAGGGAAGCCATTGCCCCACCCACTGGAAAACCTCTCATCCTACCCTGTGAAGTTGATGCCTTGCTGTGTTCTACAGCCTGAGTATCATTAAGAGACTAAGAATAGCAATAAGCCTGCAGGCAGAGGTGGGTCTCTGGGTGCTTTGAGTCTTTACCTGATATGCTTCTGGACCCAGGACTTGGAAAAGCAGACCTTGGTAAGCATCTTGGTCATTTCCAAATGCACCCGGCCACAACAGAGAGAACCACAAGCTGTGGGTTGTTAATAACCCCGAGCAAGTTACTCAAGGCAATTCACAAACAGTATCTGACATTGGCCTACAACAGAGACACTCCAAAAAGACTGGGAGTCCTAGCAGATCTACTTAATATATAGAAACAAATCCAAACAGGCAGCCAAAAAGGGGAGACCAAAAAACAAGCCCCAAATGAAAAAACAAGAAAATTCTCCAGAAGAAGAGCTAAATGAAATGGAGATAAGCAATCTATCAGATACAGCGTTCAGAGTAATGATTGTAAGGGTGCTCAATAGTATGAGAAAATATATGGAAACTATGAAGGAAATTAAGAATGACATAGTAGAAATAAAGGATACATTGGAAGGAATAAACAGCAAATTTGTGGAAGCTGAGGATTGGATCAGCAAATTAGAAGACAGGGTAGAAAAACACACAATCAGAGATCCAAAAAGAGAAACAATTAAAAAACAGGAGGACAGTTCATGGGACAACATGTAATGGAACGATATTCTCATCATAGGAGTACCAGAAGGTGAAGAAAGTAAGCAAGGGATAGAGAACCTGTTTGAAGGTATAATGGCAGAAAACTTCCCTAACCTGGTGAAGGAAAAAGTCACACAAGTTCAGGAGGCACAGAGAGTCCCAAGCAAGAAGAGCCTAAGGGAGGCCCACGCCCAGACACATCACAATTAAAATGAAAAAAATTCAAGACAAAGGGAGAATCTTAAAGGCAGTAAGAGAAAAGCAATTTGTTACCTACAAAGGAGCTCCTTGAAGGCTGTTAGCTGATTTCTCATTAGAAATTGTACAGGCCAGAAGGGAATGATATGAAGTAAGTGCTCAAGGAGATGAAAAGCAAGGATCTGAAACCAGGACTACTCTACCCAGCAAGGCTATCATTCAAAATAGATAGTGAATTACAGAGCTTTCCAGACAAAAGCTAAAGGAATTTATCACCACCAAACCAGCATTGCAAGAAATGTTAAAGGGACTGCTGTAATAAGAAGTAGAATGCTTGGTGAGGCTTCCCTGTGATGCTGTCTAGACCAAGGTGTTTGTTTGCTAGGAGTTTTTTGTTTGCTGCTTCGATTTCATCAGTTGTGTTGGCCTATTCAGGTTCTCTGATTCTTCCTGATTCTGTTTTACATGATCTCACTCATATGTGGAATAAAATGAACAAAATAAACTGATGAACAAAATAGATCCAGAGACATAGAAGCATGGAACAGACTGACAAATCTCAGGGGGAAGGTGGAGGGAGGGGAGTGGGTGAGGAGCGATGATTAATCAAAGAACTTATATGCATATATGCATAACTTACTGACAGAGACAATAGTGTGGCGAAGGCCTTGGGGGGTGGATTCAGAATGGAGGGGATCAATGGGGAGAAAAAAAGGGACATCTGTAATACTTCCAACAATAAAGATAAATTTTTAAAAAAAAGAAAATCTATATTACATCAACTCTTGATCATCTCAATGGAGACAGGGAGATGATAACATGATAATAATGGACTAATTTATATTTGCCTTTGTTCAACTTTAGATTCACCTAAAGTAGAGAGGGCATAATTTTTATAGCTGGAGGGGACTTTAAGATCATTTTGTACACCCTTGATATTTTGCAAAGAAGGACCCAAGACCCAGAGAGATTAAATGACTTAAATTCTTGTTCTTTTTCAATACACCATGCTGTCTCTTTATAATTCTTTAAAAAGCTAGTATATGTATGTAGATAAAGAATTACCTGTATATAAGTGGGCAAGGAGCTTACTAAATAATAATTACTACATATGTATATGTCATTCATCCTCACCTACCCAAATCCTGGCTCCACTGATTATAATAAAATGATAGAAAGTACAATGGGAGCTTCCACATGGGTGATTCCTCTTACCATTATTGCCACAAGGTGGGAGTGAGGGAAAAGAAGGACTCCATTTAGCTGCTAAGACAACAGGGAAAGGTAAAGGAAGTAAGCTCTTTATACAGAGTATAGAAAAAGGGGAAAAACAATCCTTTTACCACTAAATTAATTCAAAACTTCTTAACTCTCTAATTGGAACCCTGACTGTATTTTCCCATGCTATAATGCATTTACATTATGAATTAAGTAGAGACCAGTGGAAACCTAATGACCATGTTTAAAAAAGTTTGTATAGAAAAATTTATTTTAAGTTTCACATAGTAGACTTATCAAACTTTTAAAATATAACCTAGTCATAAGATTACTTGGATTTAACAGATTCAAACATCTATACTCAAATTTATATGACTATGTAGATAAATATGTAAAAGGAAGAATGAATTAGCTAATGTGGAAGTGAACAGAAAAATAAGTACAGGGATAGATTTAGTTATGTCAGTAACAGGGGAAAAACCCTGGAAACTTAGGGAGGAAAGTCATTTTTTACTCTTCTGGGATCATCACAAAAAACTCTCAACCTTATCTTATCTTCAATATTTCCTGTCCCACTAACTACACCTAAGAACTTTATATCTCTAGAGGCAGATAAGAAGAACTAGAGAGGACAGGAGAAGGTGACTAGCTGAAGGTACCAAAGAATGCTAATTTCACATGGAAGCATAGATGAGACTGATGAATGTCAGAGGGATGGAGGAGGGCGGGTGGGTGGAGGGGAAGAGAGTAACCAAAGAATTTATGTGCATATATACACAACCCAAGGACATGGACAATGGTGGGGAAAGGGACTGGGGAGGGGAAAGGAACGGGGTGGAACGGGTCATTGGGGAGAAAAAGGGACATCTATAATATTTTAAACAAGAATAAAACTTAAAAAAAATGCTAATTTCATACTAAATCTCAGTTGTCTAAGTAGATAAAGCAGTTAACACACCGGGTCAGTAGTGTCAGCAGGTCTTTCAAATATATTCAGGTGTTCAATAATGTTCTTGAGATCCTGGGACATTTGCTTCAGCTGAGCATCTATATTTTCTGCTAGTTTGTAACTGAAAAGGCAAGTAATATAAAGGGATTAACAAGCAAGAAACGTTTTCTACACTGATGTATCATTGCTAACATACAACAATGATACTGCCAACTGTATTTGCCCCAATTCCCCTACCTTCTCAGTGGGTCTCAGTTATGACTAATGGCACATTTTTATGGATGCAGTATTCATAATGTTCTAAAAAGACTCCACAGGTGAAGGCTTTAACCCACCTTCCATTTTTACGGTCATCTATTTATCTTCTTGCTAATGTTCTGAAGCAAAGGAGCTCTGAAACAGAGGAACTCTTTTGGGTGTCAAAATAAACCCATAGGACATATTTAGAGTTATTTGGTGTTGAGCAGTATTCAGTAAGTGCAGACATGTCTTCAATGACTTTGAATACATAAATTTTCAAAGTAAAACCTTATATAAATATGCTCCATCATCCAACAAAAGTTGTTTTGAGAAGTAATATTCACAATAATCAAAGGCAGATAAGTTTGCTAAGTTCACAACAAATAATTACTTGGCTAAATTCTCAAGATTTCCACCCAAACTATTTACACACACACACACACACACACATGCACCAGCGTGCGCACACACACACTTAGTCAACAGATATATTTATGAGAATTAAAGTAACCAGAGGGGTTTTCATCCTTAATGTCTATAAAGATTTTAAAAATCAATTAGATTTATTGATAACTATCTACTGTCTTTCTGTCCCAAAGTACTTATAGGTAATTGGTTGCCTAGAGTGTTGAAGATTCTAGTATAGATTCCACCACATTATAAATCTGACTACATAAAAGCAATTGGAAAAAACCTAAAGATTCAATTATTTCTTCAAACTATAGTTAGTATCTCTTGGCCAAAAAAACAACTCTGTATGTTTCAAAGAAAGAAAAAAAATGACATGCAAACAAAAGATTCACAAAAGCTGAAATACAAAAGCAGAAACAGAACAAGGGTCCATAGAGATTAGCTTCACTTACTACATACATTTAATAGACCTACAAAAATGTTAATTTGCAAACCTCTTAAAAATAAGCTCAGTCTTACCTCAATAATAAGCCATTGATAAAATGAGTCCGATTTAATCTCAATCTAGCACATTCATACAAGTTCTCCCAAGAACACTATAATTTGACCTGTTTACAAAACCTCAGTTCTAGAGAGATAACATGTGGGAACATTGGCAATGTATTGACTGAAGGTATAGACTGAATTGCACACAAATAAAATATATTCAGCCCAAGACATTGACAAAACCATTCAATTTTTTAAAGCTATGCAGTTTGCCCCCAGATTAATAAATTGCCTTTAAAATAGCAAATACTTTATCACTGAAGCAACTGCACGAACATTAGTTTTAAGAGTCAATATAGATAACCAGAGGGAAAGGGGGTGGGGGAAGGTAGAAGGTGGCATGGGGGGAATAAATGGTGATGGGGACTTGACTGTGTGGTGAACACACAATACAATATATAGGTGATGTATNGAAGAGGGTATGGGGGGGTAAATGGTGATGGAAGGAGACTTGACTTGGGCGGGGTGCACAGACAATAAAGTATACAGATGATGTATTATAGAATTGTATACCTGAAACCTATATAATTTTATTAACCAATGTCACCCCAACAAAGTCAACAAAAAAGTAAAAAAAGAGTAAATGTTAATAGTAATATATATCCTATATATATATAGGAATAAATATCCTACAATATTATGACAACACAGACATAAAATTTGTATTTATAATTTAAGAACAAAGTTGACAAATATAAAAACTTTACAATGATCATGTATAAACTTGATTTTTTTTAATTTTGAGAATATGTTTATTAAAGCTGTGCACAGTGAAACAAGGAAGGGATTAAGATAGAAGAAGCAACAGAAGAGAGACTAAACAGGGCTGCTTTGGCTCACTGGAAAGTCAGAGAAAAGGAGGCCTTGGAGACAGGTTCAGGGGGTTAGCCCAGGATGAGTTGCTGCTGCCCATTGCTCCCCTGGTTGTAAGTCTCGTGGGGTCCCTTAGAGTTTAGGAGATGCATGCCTGTGGGGGAAGAAGAAAGGGAAGGGAAAGGCATGGGCATGCTACCAGGAGGGAGAGTGCGCACAAAGCTTGAAATTCATGTCTATAAAATGCTATAAAACAAAATTGCCAGAATGATTACTTTATTTTCAAGCATCATAAAAAAGTAAACAGAAAAGTAATCAAATAAGCTAATAAATGGCAACTACAAAAACTTGTCCTTTTCTACCAATTTTTATTCCTGGCCTTTCAATTCCATTTTTTCCCTTTTTTAATTAAAAAAAAAAATTTTAAATCTATTTTTATTGATTGCAGAGAGAGGAAGGGAGAAGAAGAGAGAGAGATAGAAACATCAATGATGAAAGAGAGTCATTGATCGGCTGCCTCCTGCATGCCCCTGCTGGGGATCGAGCCCAAAACCCGAGGCATGTGCCCTGACTGGGAATCAAACTAAGATCTCCTGGATCATAGGTTGATGCTCAACTGCTGAGCCATGCCTCCCGGGCCATTTTTTCCGTATTTTAGTAGCTAAGTCTTGACCCATTTCTTGATCTTTAGTCAGTTACTTACCTCCTCTCACGTTCCTCATCTGTATACTTCGGATAAACAGAACTATTCTGGTCCTTCAAAGACTCCTCTAAAGGGATCAAGAGATCTTCTAGTTCCTTCTGCTGCGACAGGACAAAATCCAATTCATTTTCCAGTCTGGAAAAAAAAAAAAAAAAA